AAAAGGGGGGGAAAGAAAAAAAAGAAAATATTATATAATTTTATAATATTCACAGCATATTTTACACAATCTTGCTACGGCACGAAAAGTGCAAAAACGCATAATCGCACCGGCCTGTCTGATGCGTTCCAGCCTGGTTTTGACAAACAACCGCTCGAGCAATACTTCCACTTTTTAGTGAACTGAAAATTTGCATTTTTTCAAAAAATTCGCATTTGTCATTTTTTCACAAAGCGAGCATTTACCGAAAAAACGACCGGACTCCATGCAAAAAACGGGTAATCATGCAGCTGGATATCTGTGCGGCTCCATAATGCACCACCTTCATCCCAACTGAAGCCCTTCCTCCTGCATGCCGGAAGGGGCCAATATGAGCCCAATGTGTTAGGTTGCAGCGTAGCGATCACTTTCGCTAATAGCGATTTGCGAGTTTAGTGCAAAAACGCATGATCGCACTGGAAAGCCTGGTGCGTTCCAGCCTGGGTTTGGGTTGTGGAGCAGAAAGCTCGTGACACACACACAACACGGATAGTCTTGCAAGTTTTCGTACTTGTAGAATGCAAAAGTGCATGAAAATTTATCACCTAAAATAGGCGAATGTTTCTACTTCGATGTACAAGTTTTGTAAGAAAACAATGAACTCATCTCATACCACATTCTGTATGCAAATAACTTTGTCTTAGTTTCAATGAACAGTTAGCTTCCGCAGTCAAAAAAGGGCGTTTTGAATTGTAGATTTTGAGGAGCAGCATTAGCGTGCCTGAATTTGACCTCAAACTGGTGAGCTCGCAACGAATGGACGATCGCCTACTGGTCACCAATTACAATGCGAAAATAACCGATTTGCATGGCGAGGTAAGGAGCTCTGTGGCTGCAAAAACGTCAGGGCATAATACTCCAAAATGGCGCTTCCTAATTTCTTCCTGAAAAGGGTTTTCACGCTGGACACTCTGGAATAATCTTGGAAGTTCTTTAGAAATACCAAGGATACCATAACCGGAGAATTGTGCAGGGCTCCATGTTGATGCTGTTAAATGGATCATTTTTCGTCATTTTTCGAGATTTTCTTCCTTGTTGTGACCTTCAGTATATGAAATAGTGATTGTCTTTAATGCTCCACATAGAGAACATTGTGACAATCCCACACATTGATGTTTTTAGTTCACTTTCTAACAGTCTCGACTAAGTGCGAAAGTTTCTTTTTTTTCCTGGCTTTCATTTTTTTTCTGCTTAGAAAATATTTCGATTGAAATTTGATCTTATAAGAGCGAGGGGGCTCAATGTCCATTTGCTGCTATATGGCCTTTATCTTCTAAAACTTCAGTTTTCTTTTTTATTGCTAAACTAATGCAGCTGAATTGAAAACCACATTTTTCGTGGAATTCAGGATGTGATAATAAGTCTTTTTATGGGAAATAATAAAGTAGATTGATTTTGCAGATTGAAGCACGCATGGCATGTATTGCTAATCAGGTGTACCTAATGGCGTGTTTCTGTGGACGACCAGAACTGGATATAGAGCTCGTGAATACAGATTCAAGTTCAGTAAGTTCTTCCTCACACCTTCCTTAACGTATGGAAATCGTTGAAATAGAGGGAGAAAATGCTGGTGTGCAAGTCGAAGAATTTGCTGGTGTGCAAGTTAACATCATCGACTGAATGTGCCAAATTACGCTGGAAGCTAAAAATATGAATCCACGAAAAACCTCGAAATTTGTGCCAAAACGTTAAAAATCAGCAGCTTCAAGCGGCATATTCGATGAAGGTGCTGCTATACGTCCATCGATTAGGCGAAGTCGAGAATAGCTCAGGATTGAAAGACGTGACACAAGTGATCCGGCATGTAGGAGTATTCCAGTAACATCACTAAAATCGAGATTCCTATATCGATTTTTCCCGGTTGGTCATCGTATTCTTGGAAATCAATGGTGGCATGCAGTGTATTATTTATTCCTTATTGAGTATTTTTTTCTTTTTCAAAAGCGGGCTACCATCAAAATAAAATTTTCTGTAGGCAGGAGCCGTGTCCAGGTCTCTGGTGGATGAAGCTATCCGCAAATGTTTGCTTTCTGCTGTTACAAACATATCGCTTACCGAATCGCTTGGACAACGCAGCAGTGGCGTTGCAACTGGAACAGTTCCTGCTTCTGCATTTTCGCCAATTTCCCGTGTAGTAGCAGGAGGCGGTGCTGGCATTATTGGGAGCAGCGTCACTCCAGCATCGACGCCGGTGCAGGAAATGATGAAGCGAATTGGCCAGTCGACCCAGGTTGTTACCATGGCTTCCTGAATTTCATAAGTCAGTGCCAATTTTTTTCAGCTAAATCGCAGAGCTTCAGCCACATTTTGCTTCCACTCAAATTTCCAACTGAAAAATGTCTACTGACCAATGTGGGTCTAGATTTTCCTCTCTAAGTACGGCCCTCCATGAAAATTTTCATATAGGTATTCACGCTACTAGCGGTAAAAAACGAACAGCTATTTTTATGGTGTTATATGTATTTATTTTTTTTTTCCAGTAGGAACAGAACCAATATCAAATATTCACATCGATTGTTCGAGCACTATCGATAATTTTAGTAAATGATAGGACTTTTCCAAAAGCAAACACACGTTGACAGGAGTTTTCGCTGACTCTCTTGCATGGGTTGTTCTAGAAGTGGACTGGATGCAATTCAGAGTTTTTTTTACGCTCAGCTAGTACCAATTTACCGCAGAGATAAATATCTCAATATAGAATGAATGTTAGTGAAGCTGCGATTTGACTCCCTTAACATAGCATAATTGCTCTTCTTACTTTTATCTTGATGAAATTTTTTGCAAATCATAACCAGTTCTAGCTGTAGCCAACAGCACAACTAACTCCTTGGTCTTGTAATTCCAAGGGTCTCAACTGACCACTATATGGTCCACATCTCTTTTTAACAAACAGCAGTTTTTCAATCCCGTGTTTCTGCAATTTTCTTTTGTCTCGAACAGTTAAGATCCTACTCTGGGAAGCTTATCACAGGTAATGGTACCTTTCTGGGGCTCAAAAAATGCCAGGATCATTAAATGCAATTAGAAAAGAGTAATGTTTTGCGATGGTACATAAAATTTCGCTTATGTAGTCCTATTAGATAAGTTGCATATTGAACCTCCTCCGGCTCCCAAGTCAGAAGCTTTCTTGTCAAAAATCTCACAGGTCTGTAGGCAAGACCTAGACATAAAGTGAATCTAAATTTTAGTTCGCAAAGTCGTAAGTGGGCAGGAAACATTACCCTAAAATTTCAGTCCCTAGCTTTTCCAGTTACTAAATCGCAAACTATAGAAAAGACCGGATACGTTTTGAATCCCTGTTACGGAATATAACGCATAAAAATTTTTACTAGAATCAGGGCTTAAAAGCCTTGCCGTATTTATTCGCATAAGAGGCTAAAATACTTGGAAGTAGCCCAAGTGACAGCATGCGCCAACATCAGAAACCAGTCAATAGGACTACCAGTGGCTTTCTTTTTCCGGAGCTGTTTAGAAGCCAAACTGACAGTGAATTTACGTCTGCCACACACCAGTACCAATTTACCATCGAAACGAATGAACGAATCGGTTGTTCCGAGAATAAGGGAATGGTTGTCCCACTAGCCTAGTCAAATCTTCGACCTTCAGCACTGTAGGAGTGTCATTTCTCGTTGCGCCACATGCATCACCATTAAAAAGAAAAACAAAAACTTTTTTCTAATTACACAAAGCAAAAACTGATCTACTTTCAGCTCACGAATCAGTCTGCAAAACTGCAGGGAGCTCCCAACAAAGTTCGCGTCAAGGTGATACGTGCTCAACGACTCGGCGGTGATCGCAGTACGGACTTTTCTTCTAATTCTACCAATTCAAACCGTATTCGTTGTATCCGACCAT